ATCAATGCTGTCCGCAAATCGTAGTTTCCAGGCACAAAATTCGACATGTTCAACGCTATTACAAACTATACTGTTGTATGAAACTTGTATTGTTGTGAGTTGAAAATCTTTGTCAGAACAAGGAAATGGCGTCAATGACGCGGTCTGACGACAACTACATTGATAGCTATGGCCATCTATTGATAAATTCCGGTTTCATATTTACATACCTGGCAGTAAATTTGTTACAAGTATTTGTGTAAAATTATCTTATCGCTCTTGATTTTTTAAATGATCAAGAAGAATCATAGCACACCCGTAGTACGCATTAACGTAGATTATTCATTGTAGTTATAAAAATACTTATAATAATAATTATAATAGATTCTCATGTTTTTCTACTTCTGTTTCGAAGCTTTTGCTCTTTTATTAGCAACATAGATAATCCATACAAAACCAATCAAATTGACTATCAAGACTCTCAACTGAAAAAAAAAGAACAATGTTAATAATTGCTTCCAATAAATTTTTAATATTGTCTATAAATAATTTTAATATCAGAGGAAAAAGAATAATATAAAATATATAAAGAGTAAAAAGAAAAGAAATTACAATATAAAAAAAAAGTTTTCAATTTATATTTTATATGTACACTGCTGTTCATTAATCAAGTCCTACGAGTGTAGGAGCGTGAAGAAGTTTGTAAGGTAAGCGCCATCTCATCCACACCCAAGTGCGACTAAAGTGAGACTCGATTATTGAACAGCAGTGTACATATAAAATATAAATTGAAAAGGAATTTCTAATTAAGATTTTCTTATTTGAAAATACAGAAATATGTAGAAAGTATTGTAATAAGATAATATGCATGTTATACCATTGGTGGAACATATCTTATGTTGATATAGTGGAACAACGTCAAATATTTCAGATTAGCCATCAATGTCGGTAAATATAATTTTTGCATCTGAGCATATGCCACTTGATGGGTTTTGCCCTGTAAACAGACTTCCCTTTAATGCTAAATTACAAAATAAGAATGTCAAACGTAATAAATTAAAATAATTTTGTGAGTCTCCAAACATAATCAAATATAAATAAAAATACTTGTATGAAGCTCCATGGTTGTTAATGCATAAAGCGTAAAGTAAATTTATAAAGCGATAAAATAATTTGCAAACAATTGGATTGTACTTATTAAACAAAATTAACTGCGAACGTTTGGACTCTGCAAATAGAGCTTATACTTGATTTCCGCACAAAGAGGATTTAGAGTCGAAATGTTTGCAATTAATTATAGTAAATACATTCCAATTGTTTATGAATTATATTTTATCATTTATAAATATTATTAATGTATGAATATATTATTTATACACTAATAATCGCGGAAGATCATACAAGGCGTTTTACTTTTACAGGTATGTCTATGTACTATATATAGTCTATATATAGTTTATATATGTACATAGGCTTGCTTAATAATTTTAATTTCTAATACTATTATTTGATTAGATAGCATTGTTTAATTTACAGCATTATAATACATTTTTATCATATGCTTACAAAAGCATGAGCTATTGCAACAGATTATGATCTTCATACCTCAAAGATGGCAAGTAAATACAGTGCAAGAGCTTGGAAACACGGTGTGTAAATGAGTCTCTCTATTAGAAGAATTCCTAGAGGATGTTTCACGAACAATTGTATATATGTATAAAAGTAATGGGGTACCGGACCTCCAAACAATAATCTGCAACAACATTCGTGCATGAGATTACGTAAATTTTTCGAAGCTACTTTGTTAACAGTGCATATGACAGTCACCCAAATAGAGCAAAAGCCAAGATACTGTCTTCATTAAGCTGCTTGATGCCGGATAATTTCTGAGATACCACATTTCCAAGGGCGCCGATAATGCAACTAAAAATAATTAAATATTTCTTGTTTCTATCACCTAATTCAGCAATATAATTCAAACATATATATATAATAAGTCAGGTTTATAAAAACACTGTTTACTGAAATATTATACATAATATAATATATATATATAATATATATTGTATAAATATGTATATATCCAATAAGCAGCTAGAGTATTAATACGTTGCCAACAGATTCAAGCAGAATATTATGGCAGATTGACTGCAAATATATTAAGGCTCAGTTCCACAATTCACTGTTGACTCTTAACCAAGTTTAACTTATTCTAGAATTGGAAAGAAATAAGGAATAAATTGAACATTGGTTAAGAATTAATTATAAATTGTGGAAATGAGTCTAAATGTTTGTTGGTTTGCAGATATAATCTGATGGTACATGATGCAGCAAAATTTGTCATTTTGTAACTCTTGAATGGAATGCATTATTTAAATAATGAAACAGCAGATTCTATTTAATTTTTACATCTGCCATCATATTCTGTTAACGGATTCTATTATATCTTGCTGACATACTGTCAACAAAATTTGTAAGCTTTGTGGAATCTGTTTTGAATTTAGCTATGTGGGTAAATACACTCGTTTTTTAGTAGGTGTATATATATATGTGTGTGTGTGTGTATATATATAATTAAAATATAAAAAAGATAAAATATATTATATCATTAATCACAATTACTATGATATAATGCATGCGGTGCATTATATCACAACTGGCAATCATTAATTAATAATGTATAATATCTTTTTATGTTTTATTTATATACACAAACATACACACACATCTAAAAAATATCATAAGTATATTTACTCACATAACTAAACTCAAAAGATATATCTACATACAAAACCTGGTTCTATCAATGTAGTATAAGATTAACTTTAATCTCAGTTTAACTTAGCGTTTAGCTTTTTCTAATTCTTAGAACTAAAAGAAAATAAAAAGTAAATTGAACCAAGGTTAAAGTGAATCTTACATTGGTAGAATTGGGCCTTATACCAATGCAATTATTAGAACTAGAAAAAGATAAAGAATTAGTTAAACCGAGATTGAAGTACAATATTAATAGAAATAGGCATTATATATAGTCATGTATACATTTGGAGTTTATGTAGCAAGATTCAGTCTTATTACCTCGTTATAGCTTTTGTTTTTAAAGGACTGTAGTAGAGCCGTTGTAAATATGAGCCTAGGAGACTATAAAAGATATTGACCGGCTTGGAAAGCACCATTTTTTCGCATCAATTGCTACCTGTTGTCAATTTCCTGGACCTGGAAGACACGATTCGCGCGATGAGTTGTGGAAAACACGGATCATGCGATAAAAAGCGGTGCAAAGTGCAAGCCGCCGTCAGCTGATAAATAGTAGGTCTTGACCGAGTCGCTTCGGATCGCTCTTAAGATGAGTCGCATTTTCGACAATCTCTTTTTGTATTTATTCCGTTGCGATTTGTATAAAAACAGTAGACGTATGAAGAGCGCGAATACGTTAAGTGTACTAATAAATATCTTGTATAATTACAAAACTGAATGAGTTTTTAAAAGTCTACCTGTGCAACTCGATCGGGCCAGAATTCGACAATCGATTTTTCAGCTGTCAAGGCACAAATTATCTCGAATACGACAACTTCAAACAGTTCGAATACTTTTGAATGATATCGATAATGCACAATAGTCGAGTTTTTTTTAATTCGTATGATTGAGCAATCGCATAATGCTCAAATGCTTTTACTCCAGAAAAACTACATTTGCGCATAATATACGATCAATTGATAAATTATAAAAAATTTGCCTAATTACGAAATCACTTGAAAATTCATGGGGCTTTATAACCTCGATTCCAGCCAGACTTAGAGTTAGTTTTTCCAGATCAGTATATAATCGCCTGCTTTAATCTTTACAAGATTTTTAATTTAAATAATTGGGAAAAAGTATTTTACATCGACTCTGTAGAATGTACATACGAGATCGGAATACGTACGATCGATCTATGAAATTTGTGTGCGGCCTCCAACCCGAATTGGCGAAAAATCAAACCTGTTCTTCAGTTCTTTCGGAACTGATCAACCGCGAGTTTAACAAAATGCGAGAGATCAATTTGGAATCGATTTGGATACGAAGAAGCGAGACACCCAAATTTGTAGCTTCGGTTAATCTTACTCAATGCGGAAGATCGATGTTTGTATAGATTAGCCTTTTAATACCATGTGATTGTTTTATATGTATAATTTCTGGAAAATATATTCTTTATCTTCTCTACCGTGGTGGTAAATAAATAATCGTGCGGAGCATGAAGTAGGTACTCGCTGAAAGCATTGTTAGAATATCGCGCATATTGTAATTACAATACTTATTAGTTATACATACCTAAATTGCATAAGTGATTTAATATATAATAATATAATCACACAAAAAGAGTAGAATACCTAAAAGTATTCAAAGGACAGTATTCATAAGCCAGTATTCATAGTCGGTTCTTATTTCAAGACCGTCTTAAGTAATGTCTTAAGACGCTAATGCAGCCCTCTGGCCGGTATTCATAGTAAGATCTTATATTTAAGACTGTCTTAAGTACAGTCTTATGATGTCATGAACCAATCAGAGGGCCGCATTAGCGACTTAAGACATTACTTAAGACGATCTTAAAATAAAAGCTGACTATGAATACCGGCCTCTGATTGGTTCATGACTTCTTAAGACTGTACTTAAGACGGTCTTGAATATAAGATCCGACTATGAATACCGGCCTTAGATCGGTATTCATAGTCAGATCTTGTATTCAAGACCGTTTTAAGTATGGTCTTAAGGAAGTCATGAACCAATCAGAGGACTACATTAGCGTCTTAAGACATTACTTAAGACGATCTTGAATAAGAATCAACTATGAATATCGGCCTTAAGTAATATCATAAGCGCTAATACGGCCTTCTGATTGGTTCGTGACTTCTTAAGACTGTACTTAAGACTGGGTTCGATTTGGACGTTTTCAGCGCTTTCAGCACTTCTATCTTTATTTTGCATGTAATGAACGATAAAGCTAGAATAATGATTAAAATCACTTAAAACGTTTGAGCGTCCAAATTGAACCCAGCCTAAAGGTGCCTTTTCACGCTGACGCTAGACGCTCATTTTCAGCGTCAAAACAGGTCACGTGATCAAAATTGACGCTTGGTATTCGTCAATTTTGATCATGTGACCTGTTTTGACGCTGAAAATGAGCGTCGAGCGTCAGCGTGAAAAGGCACCTTTAGACGAATATAAGATCTTGGGCTACGTTTCAAAACATCCTCTCTGAGGAAAATTTTACTCGAAATATATATACACGTCACGTATACTATAGCGTATAGAGTAAAATCTTCCTTGGAGAGGAAGTTTTGTAACGTAGCCTTGAATATAAGCTTTGGGGAAGGCTCCGATTGCACACATTGCATGTTGCTCACATGCGTCGCTAATTGGCCAATTTAAAAATAAAATATTCTCATTGGTAAAGCAGTAAAAAGTTACTATGCACCAGCTGATATGATTGGTGTGTGCAATCGGAATTGTAGGCAAACGGGATCCTCCCTAAGATCTGATTATGAATAGACGCCCAAAGAGTGACTTTAAATAAACCTCGATTAATTTAATCAATTATATATAATTCGCTTACTAAAAATTTCTAATATTGTACATAGCTCATATATTATATATAATTTAATCTCTGTGGCAAACAATAATAACAGTACAATTGACAATGGCTGCGTTCAGCAGAACGTTTATTTTGCAACTGTTAGAAGTTTTCTTCGCGCTGATTGGATTATGCTTTTAGATCAAGAGAAATGATTCTATCTCAGCAGACAATCAAAAAACGGTTGCAAAACTGTTGTGTTCTGCTGAACGCAGCCAATGGCAGTGAGCGCTCGCTGCTATTGATGTATTCTTCCAGATTTAAAATGCTGATTGGATGATCTAAAAGAATACACAAATAACAGCAAGCGCTCACTCAACTGTTGGGTCCGCTGAACGCAGCCAATGATAATTGAAGAAATTATTCCTGTATGGTCAATTTCTTGTGGCTTAAAGCAGAGCCTTCCAAATGGTCACATGATTATGTCTCCACCAAGATTTCAACGGTAAGCAGGTCCCTTTCAATGTTACCCCTTCCAACGCTACCTGTCTTCCCGCCACGCGCGTTCAGAGCCGTCGCAAACAAGTATGCAAGTATACAAATATAACTCTAAGTTCGGATCTATAATAGGATTTTAAGCCTTAAGGCCGCGACACAGACTTTTGCATAAAGCATAATGCATAGTGCGTAAACAAATCAACTAATTAGAATCTTTCCTTTCCTCCCATTCCATGGAAAAGAAGAATTTCGATTGATTGATTCTTTTATGCACTATGCGTTATGGGCCTTCTACAATAAGCCATTAATCATAAATCAGAAGTCAGAAGCTAAAAATTGACCAATCACAGTCGTCAGTTTTTAGCTTCTAATTTCTGATTTATGACTAATGGCTTATTGTAGAAGGCCTATTATGCGTTATGCAAAAGCTTGTGTCCGGGCTCTTAAGCCATAAGAAATGGGCGAATCACAGTCGCTTAGCCTGGATCTACAATAAATTTTTAAACCTTAAGCCATAAGAAATGGACGAATCACAATCGATTATCCTTCTCGCATTCGGCTGTAATTGGTCAGTTTCTTACGGCTTAAGGCTTAAAACGCCTATGGGTGCCTTTTCATGCGACGCTGAAACGCTCGTTTTCTAGCGTCAAGAAATGTCGAATCTAACCTTTGTAATCTGTAGCGAGGAGACAATAGATTTCTGCCGTATATATTACTGTGTTATTTATTCTGGAATTTAAAGTTCAATATGTTTAATTATAAATATCACACATAGATGACAGAATGTGTAAATTTAATTCAAAAAGAAATTTTATATAATATCTTCTCATATTATATTAGATAAATATTCAAAGTATTATTTCATGTTTATTCATTTATCTCACTTTCTTCGCTTTGCATGTTGGAACTTTAATAAATAAAATTTTCCAGTTAAAAAATGCACAAAATAAATTTCATATTACAAGAATGGGCCCGCCAACGCTGGAAAGTTGAATAGAAACGAACTTTTTAGCGTCAATCGTAGATAAAATTACATATAGAATGTACACGAACAGAACGAGCGTCAAGCGTTTAAGGGTATATCCACACAACTTGCAGAGCCGCATAAACATAAAGAAAATTATCCAATTACAGTTCTCTCTTAAAGTCGTACATAAAATGTGATTGGATAATTTTCTTTATGCATACGTTTATGCGGCTATGCAAGTTTGTGTGGATATACTTTAAAGGCCGCAGCACACGCTCTTGCATAACGCATAATGCATAGTGCATAAAGGAATCAACCAATAAAAATTCTTCTTTTCCATGGAATGGGAGGAAAGGAAAGATTCTGATTAGT